CAGTTAAATGCTATATATGTAATACAAGCCCAAAAGAAATGAATAATATTGAAGCCTAAAGAGAGAGGTTCAAACCGATAGTTATGAATTTGGATTATCGCCTTCGTTCTTTTTTTTTTTTTTTTTTTTTTTTTGTTTTTAGTACTTTCTTTGTTACAGACAAGAAATTAAAAATAGCAAATTAGGTCAAACTTAGAAGAAAAAAATCAATTCCAATAAAAAGAAGAAAAAAATGCGATTGAAATTCGAAAAGAAATGGGCTTAATTGTACGCAAGCCAAAAGTATGAGGCAGTGGATTTTCAAAAAAGGCGGGAATACAGTGAGAGGATTTTTCAAAAATGTGAGCTTCGAAAAACTTAATGCCTTTGCACTGGAAACTGCTAAAAAGTACTATCTTCTACCCACAGTATATACAATTTTAATATAAGCACCCGACATTATAAAATATACCATGGTATCGATTGGAGAATTATCTGTGGAGGCCGGGGAGTCTAGAAACAAAGATATAAAAAAAGTTTCGACTAAATCATTCATTCATTCATCATTCTCGTATTTCAACAAATACAGATCTTATTGAACGTCCTGTTCTGAGCTCTGACACTTTTATAACGGGACAGCGAACGATAACAAACAATAAAAAATATTATTAAAACCTCTACTTGATTTATTCGAATAACACTGAAATTTATAAATATCCATAAATAACTTTGATTTAATCTTTAATAAATTGTTATTTTATTTTGTTTACAAAAATGTGAAAATAATATAATTTGGAATTGATTTGCATAAAAATTCTTCTTTTTTGGAGGTAACTTACAGGGGGACTCTACCTGAAGGCGGGGCGTTCCAAATAATTTCAGTAAGATTATTCTTTAACTCTTCAGAACGTAAAATGTCAAATAACAGAACAATCTGGTGTGGAAATGTGACAAGAGTTGGGCAAATAACTCTCATTCGGGAGGTACGTTGTAAGGGGGCCATGCCAAAACATGCACCGACCATATCCATTTTGTCACATTTTTTAATTTTATTCCATAATTCATTTTTATACCACAACCAAAGATTCATATTGATATCTGCACAGAAAGTATTTTTTTTCGTATTTCAACAAATACAGATCTTATTGAACGTCCTCTTCTGAGCTCTGACACTTTTATAACGGGACAGCGAACGTTAACAAACAATAAAAAATATTGTTAAAACCACTACTTGATTTACTCGAATAACACTGAAATTTATAAATATCCATTAATAACTTTGATTTAATCTGATAATAAATTGTTATTTTATTTTGTTCACAAAAAATGTGAAAATAATATAATTTGGAATTGATTTGCATAAAAATTCTTCTTTTTTGGAGGTACCTTTACAGGGGGACTCTACCTGAAGGCGGGGCGTTCCAAATAATTTTCAGTAAGATTATTCTTTAACTCTCCAGAACGTAAAATGTCAAATAACAGAACAATCTGGTGTGGAAATGTGACAAGAGTTGGGCAAATAACTCTCATTCGGGAGGTACGTTGTAAGGGGGCCATGCCAAAACATGCACCGACCATATCCATTTTGTCACATTTTTTATTTTTATTCCATAATTCATTTTTATACCATAACCAAAGATTCATATTGATATCTGCACATATAGTATTTTTGGCCGCTGTTCCCATACAACCTCGACCATCAGATTTATTGAAATTTCTTTGAAATAAACAGAGCTGCATAAGAAGTTTATTAGTTTACATTCAAAAGAAAATAGTTTCGTCCACGTTTTGAATAATCGGTCTTTGGAAGTTGCTTCAAATTGCTGCTGCAGAACATCCCAAATATCATAGTCAGAATCTATTTCCATTACCTTAATGAAAACGTCATCCGTGTTTGTGATCAGACTCTTGCCATAGCTGTTAGCTATTCCCTACACTTCTTGTGTTTCTCTGCTTGAGCTCCTAATGCTCATCCGGCTTGGTAAGTCTTTTCTCACCTACATCCAGAGCTCCCACTTCCACATAATAATTGTATGTTTTTGCAGAATTCCATTGTAAGTTCTTTTCCTTATGTAACCTTTCATTAATATATATATTAATTAATATATTATCTATATATATATTATATATATATATATATATATATTATATATATATATATATATATATATATATATATATATATATATATATATATATATATATATATATATGTTAATGTGATGGTGCTGAGTCCTGTTGGAAGTTTAAGAAGATTGTTTTGTAAAACTTGTAACTTTTTAAATGACAATCTATATATATATATATATATATATATATATATATATATATATATATGTAATGTGATGGTGCTGAGTCCTGTTGGAAGTTTAAGAAGATTGTTTTGTAAAACTTGTAACTTTTTAAATGACAATCTGCAATTTTGGACCAAACTGCTGCATCAAAGAAAATAATTGCTTGAAATATTGACTTAAATATTAATATTTTGGTATTGGCATTAAAATTTCAGTTTCTGTTTCTACATGGGATTTTGATCAAGTCGTTTCTTTACTTTTCGAACCATTTCTGCTGATGTTGCTGTTTTCTTCCGTCCACTTCCTTGACGTCGGGCTACGCTACCAGTATCACGATAACGAGCGATGGTAGAGATATAAACGATTTATTCACATTTAAATGCTGTAGTGCTCTAACGATAGCCACTTGTGGTTTTCCAGCCAAATATAAAGAAATCTCACTATCACGCTTGAATTCCATCAAGAATAACTTTTTTTTTGGAAAATTCTCATCAAAACGCATTTGTACCCTTGTAAACAATAAAATGAGCTGACACTGGAATAATTTTAACAGCTGTCGGACAAGTGGCTTAGAAATGACAGAAGTCCGAGGTTGGTTGCAGGTTTTTCATCTCACCCTGTACATGTCCGTCTGTCCATGTATTTTTGTGAAAAACATTTTTTATCCGATGAGATGAAATATTCCTTACAATATTTGTTTGGCCCAAGGACGAACCCTATTCAAATTGGCGAGAATCGGTTCAAGTTAGATATAGATTTTGGCACATCCGACCGAATTCAATGTAGAAGAAAGTAGGTCAAATTTGAAAATCAGTCACATGCGTAATATGTACTCTACAAGAAGATATTTGGTAGCAGATACCAGATCAGTTCAGAAATACCTCTGGCAAATTTTATCATAATCGGTTCAGAGTTGGATACAGTTCCCATATTTAATTTTATCCGATATCAGGTGTATTGTGCACAAATGACTAATATCAGCCCAAATGGACTGAGTGTTTGCACTTCTGACTGAGTTCATCGTAGAAGCAAGAACTACAAATTTGGTGAACATCGGTTAAGATATAGCATTAGCTCCCATATCTATGTTTCATTCGATTTGGTGTTATATAGCTATGTTTCATCCGATTTGGGGTGATAGACCTTCACGTGCGCATTAGATACAGGTCAGAAATATGTGTCAAGATCGGTTCAGATTTGGATATAGCTCCTATATTTCAGGTTTATTGTGCACCAAATGGCTAATATCAGCCCAAATGGACTGAATTTTGGCACTTTAATAAACTTTTTTTGTTACGGGAGCTCTACTAAATACGCATAGTGGTGCAGGGTATCATATAGTCGGCCCGCCCGACTTTTGACCTTTCCTTACTGGTTTTCATTATTTGGTTGATTGTTCATTAACTAACATTCTTCCATTGAGCTTGTGTCATTATTTTGGTCTGGATTTACATCAGGCATTCAAAAAAAAAAAAAAAAAAAAAACAAAAACACATATGGGTACTTGGGTTTATAATGGTATCATAAAAGTCTTCTTTCTTTAAAACATAATCTCCACATTTTTTTTTAAAGTTTCGTTTTTGTGGTGTTAAGGCTTTATTCACTATTGACTGTCATCAACGGTTGTAAAATATACGATGTAATTAGTTGCGACTTCAACTAAACTATTCGAGCCGTGAACTGTACTAATAATTTGTAGTCGTCCCCAAATTAGTTAGATTGAATTCAGGACATTTTCGAAAAAATCGTGCATCATGAGCATAAGCACGAAATGTCGAAATTTTCTTGACGACCACGTAGACCCACGTATTACCGCAGCCCCGTATAATAGTACCTCCCAATATTCGGCATAACGAAAATTAAAGCATTTGCAATGGGTATTGTACTGTTTTGTTTTCAATGTTTCGTCATCCAGCAAAGCACATTTCAAAAACAAAAAGCAAGTCCCATTATTTAAGTGCCAGTTTTATTGTATTTCGTTTCATACTTCGAGAAAATACAATACTTACTGGCAATGATAATATTGTTTATATTATCTTCAGGTCAGAATTGATCAATAAAAATTTGTCAAAATTTGATTTATTTCAAAATATAATACATTTAAAGTTTATTATAATTAGTATATTTATTTACATTAGTAGTGTGTTTGCAGATAATTTCTCTCATTTTGTACATTTCGTTATTAATGTTAATAATGTAGTATATTATTTTAACATTATAAAATACAACATGAATTCTTCATGTGAAAGCCTTTTTTTATCCCAAAGAATTTTGACAAAGGTTTGCTCGGTCAATGTGAAGTATATTTATTGGTAAACAGCAATATCTTTTTTAGTACATACATATGTATGCCAGCTTACAATAAAGCTCGGGTGATGCTTTGCAAGTATCCTTCAAATCGAATCAGATTTGTATCATTTAGACATTAATATGCCTTATGTTAGGGGTCTTGTTTTAAATCTGTCCACTAATATTACAAGGATGAAATAATTAGTAATATACAGTTTTCAACGGTTATGTCATTGAAATGAAAGACTGTTTAGCTATTTATTATTATTCTTACTCACATCCCCGCTGGTTAAGGGTATAAATTATATTAATCAAATATACACTATTCTTCTTTACATATTTGAGTATAATTTACAAGTATAGGCAAAAAGTCATGCCAGTCTATGCACATATGTATGTATTTTAATTCCGCTAGAATTAATATTTTTTTCTTTGCAGGTTTTACAGAATTTTGGATTATAGCAGAAGCCAAATTATACAAAATAACCAATATTGGAAAATATTTATACCCCTATGTTTCGCCGCAGTTTATTTACAATCGGAATACTAATGCGCTATTTTGACTTTAAAGCATCATATTTAATAGGTATGTTTTTAAAAATTGGCATTTCTTTACCATCACATGCAATATAAAATACTTCAGTTGGAATGTGTAGACAAGATTTGTTAATTAAGATTTGTAGCTGTAGCCTAATTACGTTAAGATGTATATACAGACATCTACATTGGAAATCGCACTAATATAAGTAATTAAACGCGCTAAATACAAGCATTAGTAAGAATGTGATATAAAATTATTTCAAATGTAAGTTTACTAAAATTGAGCTCGAGGTGTTTGTTGTCTTTTGATAAAATTTATATATTTTTCGATATTTCGTCCTCCGAAGGAAGACATCATCAAGATGATCAATATTTAAAAATATTCAAAATCTCGCCAAGTACCGACGTCGACCTTGCGTTGCAGTCATTTGTTTTGTCAAATTTCGGAGGACGAAATGTCGAAAATAATAAATAAATATTATTAAAAAAAAAACAACAAAGATCTCGAGCTCAATTTTAGTAAACTTACATTTGAAATAATTTAAAGTAAAGTTCGAATAAGATAACTAAAAATCAAAAAATATGATATAAAATCATTTTCAAAGTAACATTATTTAATATTTTTGTTCAGCACACTCTTTTTGGGATTGACCGTGATGAAAAATAATTATCACACAATTATTTGAAATAAACCGAGTTAAATTTTGACAAGCCTCCAAAATATTTCCTCGATTTCGCTCAAAGAGCGAATCGATGCTCCTGGGAGCAGAAAAAATGGAGCAAACTCAATTTCTCGATGTCGCTTGAATAGGAGTGAGCATGTTTTTCTCGTTTTTGAGTGGGAGCAAAATTTGTTCAGAATCGATTCTACTATATTCTACTATTGCTGAGTAATTATTCTGTTTTTGTCTTGCCGTTGTTGTGTTTGGATGTATGTGTATTTTTCACCATATATTGCAAACGTCCCAGCAAGCAAAAACTATCCCCCAAATCACTTAGAAGTCACGCTTAAGCGATAGAAATCATCGCGTATGATATCGCTTTCTCACCCCGGAAGGAGCATCCTTCGGGAAGAGATGAACCACGCCCGCGATAGTTTTCCAATAATCGTGGAAGTCACTTCCTCGATAGTTATTGGAAGTGAAAAAATCAAAAGAAAAAAAAAATTACTCCAGATTAAGCATACTAACACAGCAAGCTAAAAATATCCCGCAAATCACTTAGAAGTCACACCTAAGCGATAGAAATCATCGCGATTCATATCGCTTTCTCACTCCGGAAGGAGCATCCTTCGGGAAGAGATGAACCACTCCCGCGATATTTTTAGGCATGACTGAATAGAGCATACGGCGTTACTTGTAATAATCGTGAAAGTCACTTCCTCGATAGTTATTGGAAGTGGGAAAAAAAACATTTTTTTTTTACTCCAGACTTAAGCATTTATTTTTTATTGTCCCTGCAAGCATTTGGAAGTGAGTAATTCACTTCCATTTTAAGATGCCACTTCTGCGACGCTTCTAATCCTAATAAATGCGATAGTAGGTACATAATAACAAAACGCAAGAAAGTTAAAAGAAGGTCTCGCGTGTGCTGACACTATCTAGTGACTGCCATCGGATAAAACAGTGATAGTTTGCAATCATTCACGAATTGAACATAAATAAGACTTTACCCTGCAAGCATTTGGATGTGAGTTTTTAACTCCATCACCTAATATTATACTACTTTGTCGCTTCCTGCTTGTGAAACGTCGATAGTTGGTCGATTTGCAATAACAATTCTATTGCCCCACTACAATCAACTAATTTTCATCTCCAATAGTAACTTTTTGGCACTTCCCGAAGATTAAAGAGCGATTGTTTTGTTTTACTCCCAAAACGGAGAACAAAATTAAACGGGTTCAGTTTGTCGGAGATCGGCATTGGTGCACGAATGAAAAAAAATCTATTAAATGAAAAAATATATTTAAATTATTTAGTGAAATATAGTTGTGCCCTTTTTCAGTATTTTTTAGTGTATGTGTTCAAATAATTTTTTAAAAAAGAAGTGATATACAAAATAAAAAAATTAATATTATTTAGTGAAAAAATAAAATTAAATTTTGTGTTAATAACTGTGTTTTACTTATGCTTTTTGTTAAACAAATAATAATTTTATTTTAAAGACTTCCAGCTCTTTTTTACTTTCTGAAGGCATTGCATATCGTATACAAATCAATAAAGTCACCAACAGTCGATGAAAACCCACGCCCTCAATCTCGAATCTTTAACCAAAAAGGTAAACCGTTCGGGAAGAAATGAACCACGCTCTCGTTACTTCCTTAAATTACCTTTATTGTAACGACTGAACGTTACTTAGTCTTTAATTTCATCTGCCACTAAAAAGTCAATGTTGAGAAGTAACGAGTGCGTGGTTCATTTCTTCCCGAACGGTTTAACTTTTTGGTTAAAGATTCGACATCGCCGGCGAGGGTTTTCATCGCCTGTTGGTGACTCTTTAGTTATGTCAGCGACAAAAAATGCTTGCTGGGTATTCTATCTAAGAACTATAAGACACTGTGGCGCAGTGGTAAGCATGCAAGCTTTGCTCTCTGAACACCTCGGTTCGATTCCCAATCCAGACATCACGTTTTTAAAAAGGAAATGTTTGAATATTTCATCTAATAAGTAAGAGTTCTATGCAAATGAACATTGGAAAAAGTAACAATAACCCCAGCAAGCAAAAACTATCCCCCAAATAACATAGAAGTCACGCCTAAGCGATAGAAATCATCGCGTTTGATATCGCTTTCTCACCCCGGAAGGAGCATCCTTCGGGAAGAGATGAACATGAACTTTAGAATTACATAAACTATGCTATTACCGAGCTGTGTTGTGACAGGATCCGAGTCAGCGTCAAAACGGTGTTAGTTACGATGGTGGTACCCAGCAAATTAAACGTTGGAGTCCAACACGTCTGTTTAAAGTCAGAAGATTGGTCCGACGTATAGGGTGAGATGAAAAAACTGCAACAAACTTCAGACTGCTGTCATTTCTAAGTCACTCGTCCGATAGCTTTTAAAATCATTCCAGTGACAGCTCAGAAAGAAGTTATTCGAGATGGAATTCAAGCGTGAATGTGTGATTTCTTTATATTTGGCTGGAAAACTACAAGTGGCTATCGTTAGAACACTCAAGCATTTAAATGTGAATAAATCTTTTGTGTCTCGTTACCGTGATACTAGTAGCGTAGCCCGACGTCAAGGAAGTGGACGGAAGAAAATAGCAACATCGGCAGAAATGGTTCGAAAAGTAAAGAAGCGACTTGATCGAAACCCGCGTCGCAATGACCGAAAAATGGCTTGTGAGCTGAACATATCGCAATATTCCATTCGGCAAATATTGAAAAATGAGCTCTGGGTAAAGCCATTGAAATTCCAAAAAGTGCAAGAACTTACACCGCAACAGAAAGAAAATGGACTGGAAAATGACCGAAAGTGGTGAACTGCCGAATTTGGGCTCTCCGATGAGAAAACATTTGTTGTCCAGCAGTTTGTAAACAAACAAAATGATCGATGTTCGTCAAGTGCCGGCCATGGTGATGGTGTGGGCCGCCATAACAGCCGATAGTCCCTCTCCGCTCGTATTAATCGAACGTGGCATTAGAAAAAATTACGAATATTATCGTGAAAATATTCTGGAGGGTGTATTAAAGCCTTGGGCACGCAAACATTTTGGCTGCATACCTTGGACATTCCAACAGGACTCAGCACCATCGCACTCAGCAGACGCCACCTAAGAATAGTTACAAAATGAGGTTTCTCCGGATACCAATCCATTGGACTATTGTGTCTGGAGTATTTTGAAAAGCAAGGTTGGAACTAAAAAATACCAAAGTGTCGATCATCTCAAGCAAGCGCTTCGCCGGGAATGGGACAAAATACCGCAGAGTAACATTCGGGCAGCGTGTGATGGTTTCATTGGCCGTTTGAAGCCCATAATTCGTGCCAAAGGTGACCAATTCGAACAAATCTAAACTTATTCTAAAATTTGACGACATTTTTCTCTTTCATTCAATAAAATTAAAAAAAATGAAAAAATTATGGCGTTTGACTTTGTTGCAGTTTTTTATATCACCCTGTCTGTCCGACTTCGGCTAATTTATCTGACCGAAAAAGGTCATAATCCCCATAATTGCAATGGAGATTATGGCGGTGGAGATTATGTCCGGGCGCCGGTTTTGGATTTTCTATTTGAAATTAAAATGTAACTGGGGGTGGCGAAAATATCAACCTAATCCGCCAAAGGCTAGGTGATGCCACAAATCTCGAAATATTGGTTCTAGATCCACGATTTTATATATGTATCTACCTATCTCGTCGAGCTGGTAGATTTAGCTATGTGTTTCGATCTGTCCATTTTTATTTGTAATCACGTAACGTCGCAATTATGTCGCAAACCTCACGAAATTTTGCGTTGAGTCAGGGTTAGGATCCTTTAAGTCTTGAAATGGATCAACAAGAGATTTTTCTTATTTTGTAGTCTCTCAACTAATAATTACATACCAATTGGCGCCTAATTTTGTGTGGGGTTAGAGTTTAGAGCAGGGAAGAAGCACACCTGTTGGAATCGACACAGCAAAGCAAATGAAATTGACCATACCTTTCGTGTGCAATATCCATTTTCAAACACAATATTTTACTTTGTTTAAATTTTGTGAATGAACGATTGATATTTTTTGAATGTCTACTTGGGCATTTTGTTTTTTTTGTGATGAAATTAGGTGAACCAAATTTTTCCTACAGATAAAATCTCTCTTTATTTACTTACGTGCGAAAACCAAAACTTCTATTTGTCTGCCATTTGCCTTGCAATTTGAAGAAAAATAAGTTAAAGGTAAACTAGAAAACTATGCACATCCGAACTTCAAAAGACCGAACGAAATATACATTTTAGACCTCACAAAGTGTATATATTCTTGATCAGCATAAAATTCTATATCGATTTAGCGATGTCCGTCCGTCTGTGGAAATCACTCTAGTTTCCAAACGAATTGGAGTAGATTGAT